TTTAGTTTTATTCACAAAAAAAAAAAAACAGTCTTTGAACTCTTTTAATGACTTGTGTTTCATGGGACTTGTACCCGAGCACTTTGCATCACAAGTGTAATGCTGTACCAGGTGAGCTACCAAGCAAGTTTACTACAACAGTTATGATGCAAACATAAAATGAATTCATTTACAAATCATGCACTACAGTATTACTGTTTAAGTCTTAACATAGTATTGTGCAAGGAACTGTTCTAAAATAAGTCTTTATTAATTAATTTATATTATTTGGCCCCATAATCATAATTTATGTGAAAAGTAATAAAAGTTGTTGGTGTTTTACGGCCTCTAGTGTTAATTTCAGCTGGAAACTGCAGTGAATTTTTCATGTATATGTATGTTTTTGGACTTTTGCAAAAAATGTAGGTAGAGGCACTTTTTTTCAATTAACCTACTGTATGTTGTTCATGGGATAATAAATCAGATACACACTTAAGAATATTGCAAGAAATATACATCATATGAGTGTTTTGCCTACTTTTTCATTATACTGCATATTTGGATATATCACTAATTTGATGCTTACAGCACACTATATTGTAGGGTAAGTAGAATATGTAAAATATTGGGACGTGGAGAAGTTTTCACCAATTATTTTGCCTTTTAATCCAGTTTTTGTGTAAAAATGTCTCAGCATTTAAAAAATGTCAAGTGATGAAATGATACTACTGTTATGAACAAACGTTTATCCAGTAACATTAAAATAATGTTTATTCAATGTTATCTGGTCTAAAACTAACATTACTATAATGTTTGCAAAATTATTTATTCTCATAAGTTTAGTTTATTGAATAATAGATGTATTATATGATTTTTTTCTAATTCATTGTTTTCTTAACTCAACAAATACAATTTCTGATTTAAATATAAAATTGTGTTAATGTTCTGTATGAATAATATTCTGTAAAACATATATTTTAAAATATTTTCTGCTAAGGCACATTTTATAGTTTCCTAAACAAATTAATATGCGTTGAAAATATTTTATTATTTTAAAATGACCTGTTTTCTTTATTTACTTGACACATCAAATGTCTCATATTTTGTCTCTTGGTAAACTAACTTAAAAAAAAAAAAATTAGGGGCAAAATTGTTGGTCGTGGTGAACACCAAAATTGAGGGGCATCATTTGTGTAAAAGCTGATATGAAGTTGATAGTTGTATAATTAATTTTCTCACAACAAAGTTTGAACTGGTTTATGCCAGTTTCACTCTTTGTTCAAAAATATATATTTTTGATATTTTTACGATGGATTTTCTTAAAGTTTAAGATTTAACTTCTGTATCTGGGATAAGTTTGAAATAATACAATTTGCATAAAAAGCATTTGAAAAGTAGAAAATGCAAACAGTTGTTGATGACAGGCCAAAATGAATTTACCATATTAAAATAATTAAAATCGGCAATTCATTATGCTGCAAACCCCCCCCCCCCACAAACTACATATACTATAACAATGTTTTATTATAATATGATTATTGCTTTGTATTAGTAATAATATTAGTAGGTTTTATTATTGAAAATGTTACTCGGATTTTGAGATGATGATAATGAATGTTAATTTTGCCTAAAATGCTGAGCTAGATTTGCCAAAGGGATAAAATAAAATAAAGAAAGATATGTGAAAAGTTATTGCATACCGCTGATGAAAAAAACAGGAAGAAAAAAACCCAGATACAAAATAGCAAAAAAGTGACCTCATATTTAGTATACATTTAATTCAAACCATTCATTATACATTTAATTTAACCATTTAATTATTTTTTGTATAAAAAAATAGAGGTTGTAAACATTGATTATTGCAGCGCATTTTATATACGTGTGTACTGTACACTGTCAGAGATAAATCTGTAAAATGACTGGCAGTACATTATCCATTAATTTTACAGACATTTCTGTTAACTATAAAACACAACACAATGCAATATAAAATTCAAAATGCAGTCTGAAAATGAATATAGAAAAAATTGTACCCTATTTTCACAGATGTTTTTGTAGAGTGTAGATCTGACATAATGGTCCACCTCTAATCTGAACTGATAGGAATGAACGCCTCTCAATGGTTCGAGCACAGATCCAACTCAATTCAGCCCCTCAGAAGCCCAAGCAAGCACTCACCTCCTCCATGGCTCTGGCACAGGTAGGGGAAGCGCCAGACGTTGCCCAAACCCACACAGAATCCCACGCAGGTCAGCATGTACTGGGCTTTGTTGTCCCACTTGGGTCTGTCTCCAGCCTCTTCCACCTCCAGCCGTTCCAGCTCATCATGGCTCAGGATCCTGTCCTCCAGGCCTGGGTTCGGCAGCTTCAGCTTCATGATCTCCTGGGCTCCCTGCGGTGGGTATCTGTGGGGGAATCTCTGATGGTGTCGACAGCAGGGAGCTGTGGGAGATAAGGACCGTCTGAGTGGATGCAGGTAGTATATGTAGTGAACTTTGGCATCGTCCCACCAGGCCAGTGAGTCACGGAGTGTCTTGAAGATGGGGAAAATGTCCTGTCAGCTGAATGTGAAAAGAAGGGCTGTGACTGAGACTCTGTGCATGGCAATAATTAATGTCTTATCAGAGATTGAGAATCTGATTACATGTACATGTCTCTGCGTACCCATTCTTGTGGTTAATAACTAAAGATAATGATTTTTACGGCACTTTGGAGGTAAGTCAAAGATCCTTAACTGTCCCATCAGCACACAAAGAGTAGAAAAAAAGTCACTTGACAGATAATATATTTATTCAGTGCGCAGTATAATCAAGTTTTCATTGAGTCATTAAAAGCAGTTCACTTGATAAGGGATGATGTTTTTGTGACTATTTCCTGTGATTCATGTGTGAAAACTGATTATTTTATCAAAAAGCTTGCAATTTGTGATCATCAGCAACTTTCAAATCACGTTTTTTCTTATTCAGGTATATAGAAATGAAGGAGGGATGACAACTTCTGTTTCCTAAGTTTGTGGTGAGCTTGGTTAAAGAAAATAGAAATGGCAAAATGTTTTTACTGATTTGCATCAAGGTCTTTAGTGCAAAGATTTGTGCAAGTGCAAGGTTTTACTGCAAAGATAAAGAGTGAAGGACAAATAAAAAAAACGTAATAATAATAATAGACTCTAAGAAAAGTCTGTAAAATGGGGTCCAAAGTACTGTGTTAATACGAAGATTTTTCACAGATGTTTTACCTGTTTTTTTGCATTGTGTTGTATTTTAGGGTTAAGTGAAATGTCCGAAAACTTATGGCAGAAAATAACCATAAACTTTTGTTCTACAGACAGTGTAAATAATAATTAAATAATCTTAAAATTCCTTATTTTTTAAATCATTTTCTGGAAGTTTTGGAATTGCTGTGGTGACTTGATCTGATTATTTGATTGTTTTACACAGTTGAAGACATATAAAGTTTATAGAAAGTTTACTGAACCTTCTGCAAATCCGCTTAGAGCAAAGGTGTTATTTTTTTTAAGGAGCTTTTATCAAATATTTGCTAAAGACATTGTTTGAGTAAAGATTAAGCATTAGTGTAATGCAAATAATCAATTATCTGCTGTAGATAAGTTACCAATTAGATAAAATGGCAAGAAAAAAGACAGAAAGATTATGAAATTAACAATAACACAGCTACATATATGTATATATACTGTATACAGTGGGTACGGAAAGTATTCAGACCCCCTTAAATTTTTCACTTTTTGTTATATTGCAGCCATTTGCTAAAATCATTTAAGTTAATTTTTTTTCCTCATTAATGTACACATAGCACCCCATATTGACAGAAAAACACAGAATTGTTGACATTTTTGCAGATTTATTAAAAAAGAAAAACTGAAATATCACATGGTCTTAAGTATTCAGACCCTTTGCTGTGACACTCATATATTTAACTCAGGTGCTGTCCATTTGTTCTGATCATCCTTGAGATGGTTCTACACCTTCATTTGAGTCCAGCTGTGTTTGATTATACTGATTGGACTTGATTAGGAAAGCCACACACCTGTCTATATAAGACCTTACAGCTCACAGTGCATGTCAGAGCAAATGAGAATCATGAGGTCAAAGGAATTGCCTGAAGAGCTCAGAGACAGAATTGTGGCAAGGCACAGATCTGGCCAAGGTTACAAAAAACTTTCTGCTGCACTTAAGGTTCCTAAGAGCACGGTGGCCTCCATAATCCTTAAATGGAAGACGTTTGGGATGACCAGAACCCTTCCTAGAGCTGGCTGTCCGGCCAAACTGAGCTATCGGGGGAGAAGAGCCTTGGTGAGAGAGGTAAAGAAGAACCCAAAGATCACTGTGGCTGAGCTCCAGAGATGCAGTCGGGGGATGGGAGAAAGTTGTAGAAAGTCAACCATCACTGCAGCCCTCCACCAGTCGGGGCTTTATGGCAGAGTGGCCCGACGGAAGCCTCTCCTCAGTTCAAGACACATGAAAGCCCGCATGGAGTTTGCTAAAAAAACACCTGAAGGACTCCAAGATGGTGAGAAATAAGATTCTCTGGTCTGATGAGACCAAGATAGAACTTTTTGGCCTTAATTCTAAGCGGTATGTGTGGAGAAAACCAGGCACCTGTCCAATACAGTCCCAACAGTGAAGCATGGTGGTGGCAGCATCATGCTGTGGGGGTGTTTTTCAGCTGCAGGGACAGGACGACTGGTTGCAATCGAGGGAAAGATGAATGCGGCCAAGTACAGGGATATCCTGGACGAAAACCTTCTCCAGAGTGCTCAGGACCTCAGACTGGAACTAAGGTTTACCTTCCAACAAGACAATGACCCTAAGCACACAGCTAAAATAACGAAGGAGTGGCTTCACAACAACTCTGTGACTGTTCTTGAATGGCCCAGCCAGAGCCCTGACTTAAACTCAATTGAGCATCTCTGGAGAGACCTAAAAATGGCTGTCCACCAACGTTTACCATCCAACCTGACAGAACTGGAGTGGATCTGCAAGAGGGAATGGCAGAGGATCCCCAAATCCATGTGTGAAAAACTTGTTGCATCTTTCCCAAAAAGACTCATGGCTGTATTAGATCAAAAGGGTGCTTCTACTAAATACTGAGCATTTTTCAGTTTTTCTTTTTTAATAAATTTGCAAAAATGTCAACAATTCTGTGTTTTTCTGTCAATATGGGGTGCTGTGTGTACATTAATGAGGAAAAAAAATTAACTTAAATGATTTTAGCAAATGGCTGCAATATAACAAAGAGTGAAAAATTTAAGGGGGTCTGAATACTTTCCGTACCCACTGTATGTTTTTGGACTTTTGCAAAAAATGTAGGTAGAGGCACATTTTTTCAATTAACCTACTGTATGTTGTTCATGGGATAATAAATCAGATACACACTTAAGAATATTGCAAGAAATATACATCATATGAGTGTTTTGCCTACTTTTTCATTATACTGCATATTTGGATATATCACTAATTTGATGCTTACAGCACACTATATTGTAGGGTAAGTAGAATATGTAAAATATTGGGACGTGGAGAAGTTTTCACCAATTATTTTGCCTTTTAATCCAGTTTTTGTGTAAAAATGTCTCAGCATTTAAAAAATGTCAAGTGATGAAATGATACTACTGTTATGAACAAACGTTTATCCAGTAACATTAAAATAATGTTTATTCAATGTTATCTGGTCTAAAACTAACATTACTATAATGTTTGCAAAATTATAAAATGTAATTTTCCCTTAGCGTTCGCAACAACGTTTTTAAAACATTTAACAAACTGGACATTTTGAATGTTCAGAGAACATTGAGAAACAACATTTTCATAACTTTTTTTTGTTAGCAGGGACTTCTGATTTATTTGTCACACTGCAAATTGAAGGTCAAGTACAGCAAATGGCATTCTGGGATGCATTACAGCAGTGCACTCTGGTAGTATAAAGCACATATTTGCAAATAGTAGTAGGTCGTCCAAGAGCTCCATTTGTACAGACAATTCACACATTGTGCACAGTACAAATAAATATAAAAACAGTAAAAGTAGAATGTTACCATCATCCCCTGCATGCCACTCACAGCTAAGATTAACCTTATGCATAATGGACTTTCATTGATGACCAGTTGAAAGTTGAACCACACGTACAACAGTCAAAGATCAATGAGAATTAATGTAACCTGACCTCTGTGTGTCGGCACCAGAGCCCCATCCAAAACATGAAAGACAAAGAAGAACAAACATCTGAGGCTGAGTAATTATCAGTGTGTTGCAGATGTGCCACGACCCCCCTTTTGGGACTGTTTGTGTTAATCTGATTAGCAGAGGCATTAATGATCGTCCCACAGCAGTGGAAAAAGATTCAGGCACGTGGTTATTTTGGCTCACTAGCTCTGAGTCAGACGAGGGATGTGGGGGGTTGGGGGGAGCAGAGAGGAGCCTACGGAAGTCAACGTTGCCCGGAGCGGTGAGGCGAGACTGTATTTTGCATGCTGCAGGGAAGTCTCATCGCACTCGGAGCGTTACAAAACACACAGCGCTTCAAGTGGCTGATTCCTCAGCGGGGTTGAGAACACAAACAAAACATAGTTGCTGTGGCAAGAGACGACGGAGAGCCAGACGGTAACCAGGATGAGAAAAAACACTGAAGCAAACTGATATCACTAAACCTTTTTAAGCCTTTACATGATATTTGATTTTACGCTGTAATCAGTGGTGGAGCTAGAGTTTTATACATGGGGTGGCCAAGGCTAATTCATTGGGTCCATATACCATTACAGAAAATCAGTGAATGACTCCAACCTGGCCTAAAAAAGCATGAATAAATCCAACGATTGCAGATTACTTCACATTATATATATACACATTAGATATACATTCCTACTGTAACTTCCAATGTTAGTCTGTTGGAACTTATTTCTCTTATTTCTATCATCTGATTAACCAGTGGTTGGAGCAAAAGATCTAACATAAACTTATACAGTGAATTTGGTAAATGTTGTTCAGGAAACCTAAAACTTCAACTTACTTCAAACAGGGCTGCCAACTTTTGAGTTCAGACTGGAGTGAGAATTATTTAGGAATTCAGTAATTTTTTTCTAATTTTTTCTAAACTAAACTATACAGGGAACCCTATTGTTAAGGTTAAAAGTAACAATTGATTTGTATACAAGTTCATATTAGACCATTTTTATAACAGCGTTATATATATATACATTTTTATTAATTATAATAAAAAGAGTAATTATATGAGTAAATGTATAATAAATGTAATTTTTTGCATAATTCTCCTCTCTAATGTACATTTTTCTCACTACTTAGTTGGACACTGAATGGATTTTCTTAGGTTATGACAATGTTTTCAAGTTGCTGTCTTTCCGCAGTTGAAACACTCATTGAGTGATTACATGAGACTATACATTTAGTAAGTTGCATTGTATCTTTCAA